CCAATTTAATACTCTCCAGCACTAGTATAGAGTCATTATACATGGAAAGATAAGTGAGAAATCTGCCAAAAGAAACTCAAGTTTAGAAGAGAGGGTGGAAACACCATTAAAGCCATGGAGAATGCAGTATTTCGCTACTAGTGACAAGGAGACAACAGGTTATTATTGTCCTTTTCCTTACCACCTACATCTCCATGGTCAACATAGAATCATAGGATGGTTAGGGTTAGAAGGGACCTCAAACATACTCAGAAGTCCTACACTGGGCAAGTTTCTAACGGTAACTTTATAAAAAGAGAAGGAGATTCGGGGAAATAATGATATGGTTCAGAAGACAGCCTTGAAGGAAAAAGAGGAGAAGGATGATTTACTAGAGCAATCCCAAAGACTCTGAATGTAGTACATCGCACCTGAACTGGGCTCCTTGATTTTATTCTCCTGGTATTGCTCACCATCATCATGGATATTACTGCAGTCACTGGAAGCTGCTGACTTTTTTCCATCAATCCATAAGACTTCAAACACATAAGAGACATCCTATTTGTATTAATGAGAGGCATGCTCGCAGGACCCAGTGTGAGCTGACCCAATATATCCTCAATGCCACCTGACAGCAGTTCAAAAATAGTACTGACAAAACAGATGAATTATGGGACCCCATGAGAAAAGTCAGGAGAGTTTTTTAATCTGACGTCCCATAAGCTCTGAAATCACAACCAGGTAGTGTGGCATTGCTCCATAGGGCAGTTGTTCTGAATGGCCCAGGAGTATTTCAGATGAGCACAGAGCTATGGGAGAATGATAAGCAAGTACCTTAAAATGGTCAAAGAGAACAGTACAGATGACTATCAGTTTGACAGAGAATGGCAGATGCACAGTGATTGGGCATCGCCTGCTAGAACTGCACTTGTTTTTAAACACTTCTAAAATCTGAAGAGTTTTATCTGTGGTACATGGATGTTCCTTATGAATTATCAGTGTATCATCACAGGTTAGAAGAAAAGAGCAATAATAAATTGTCTAGCTGTTTCTATCCTATATAATTATGCTTAAAAGTAAAGAAGTCTGCTTTGTTTCAAGCAACTAGCCCCTGACAATAAACAAAACATTTGTGATTTCATCAAAACAAACAAACAAACAAACAAAAAAACAAAGAAAAGGAAAACAACAGGACAGTAGGAATTACAGGATTGTGTTTGCATCCAGCGGATGAGAAATAGAGAAAAAAGAAAACAATGCAATGGTTGAAATGACAGGTTTTTATTTATGCCTAGTGAAAGATGGAATAAAATGAAATCTGTCCTAGACGATGAGACTATATGAAACAGATATTTTTAATGAGTCCATGGTGAGATGTAGATAGAAGTGCTTATGAGTCCACACAGCTGCTTTATCGTCAGCTTTAATAGGAAGTAAACTTAACAAAACGAAAGCCAGTAATGCCATCAGCAGCGATATCAATATGGAATATACTTTATCCCCTCTTCTTCTCCTTACACAAATCTTAGCTTTTATTAGTGTGATAGAGCAATCAAATCAGCTTTCCCCAGTAGTACTGCAGTATGTGAAATGCAGCTGAGGACTTAACGTTTAAGATAAAAAAGTTTTTATTTTCTTTTAATAGATATATGTATATGAAATAGAAATAACGTCTGGATCTTTCTGCTGCTCTTTTCTTTTTGTTTTAATGGTTAGGTCCAGAATTAGAGATTACCTATATTATTTATAGCTTGACCGAAAGAAGGATATCTTGAAGGAGACCATGATCAGTCCTTGTTTTCACAGGGCTTTCCAGGTTAATTTTGCAAACTTCAAATATTAAAATAATAGACATGCTGTTGGGGTAAGCATACTGTACCTCACTCCAGACTGTGGGATAATTAGCTCTTCCAATTTTCTGAGCTTTATTTGTCACTAATCTATATTATGTCTCACTTGTGCTTAATCCTGATCATCTGTATGTCATGCTCTGTGCACTGCAGGGCAGCCCAATTGCCCAAGTGTTTCTGTCGTGTTTGGCTGTAATTCAGTTTCTGCTTGGCCAGCAGAGGTTTGTGGTGGCATGACACTGCTTGCTGAGTTTATTTTTCATATGACCCTTAATGTCAACAGTAAACCTAAAATAGACTTGTATCCCCTGTGGCTTTGCTCTGAAGTTTGCTTGTCAGCCTAGCTGCCACTGATTATTAGGAAGTCCTTCTTGTACATGATAAATATAAATCTCAAGGGGATATTTTGTTTTATTGTTTACTTCTGCATTCAAACCAAACTAAGAATGCATTCTTTGTTCCTGTATTAAAAAATCACAGGTGCAGTACTTCAATTTTGAAAGCTTCTCAGTACAATATCTATGAGATTGTGTACTGTAGGCCCTCATGCACGCTCCTGACAAGACATATTGAGGGCAAGTACAACTTCTGGTGCACATCTGGGAAGTGAGTGAATTCTGCTCATCCCTTCTCAATGTCTCAGACGTATGTTGTTTTCCAGAAGCAGCATCTTCACCTTCCACCAGGTCTTACCTGAGCAGAAGCCAGCCAACACGTTGCTTCCCTCTGAACAGAGAGCCATAAAATTATCCGGTGGTAATTACCTTACCTTGGTGAAGATTCTCTGACTACAGTAGATTACCCAGCAGACCTCAGTAAAAATTAATTGTGTAAGTCTGCCCCAGAGGCTGCTTTAAAGTGAAATCAAATCATATGAACTTCAAACCTAATCATCATGATTCTAAAATGGCAGCTGCGATATGATACGTGTTAACGGATTCAGTGAGATTTTGCTCAAAAGCTGACCACACTCCCAAATGACAGCACTAATAAGCTAAATATGTGTTATGTAAAGAAGTGTCTAGAGAGGCAATTTTGAGGAAATTCTATATTGGCAGGCACAGATGTGCAGTGAATTGTCAGTCTGACAAGTCTATAGCCATCAGCTAACTTGCTTCTACAGGCTATTCCAACAATGTCCGTGTAATAGGCTGTTTCTTCATTTGCAGGTTGTTAATAGATTCTTTTGCAATGAGCATCTGAACTTGACTTTAAAATGAGGCAACTATTCCAAGAGAATGTTAGCTATTGTCTG